GGAAGACGTCCCAAAGCACTTCACAGAACACACTGTAAAGTGAATTGACTGTATATTTGTGGGCGAACGCGGCAGCCAATTGCGCACAGCAATGTCCCACAAACAGTCGTAGATTGAAAATGACCAATTTTTATCATTGTTTTTGGTTTTGGAGGGATTATTATTAGGCGTGTGGAGTAAGGAAACTTGCCCAAGGTTTCGCCCTGCCTGGAATTGAACTCTGGTCTCGCGCTTGCAAAGCGAGTGCTCTAACCACTGAGCTACAGGACTCCACAAGCCAGAGAGCATGGTGAGGTGGGGCGCATGCTAGGAGAACGGGCCAGCAGGAATCTACCCACTTGAGGGCATGCAGACATTTTTTCCATTTTCCATTTCTGTCCCGATGCAGCTAGGTCCGAATTCCAGATCTCCGGAAGCCAGGGGTTTCTGTACAGTGTTTTGTGCTACTAGGGCTGTCTGTGTCTGATATCTCCTCCATTATTCAATGTCCCGATCTAGAGATCAGTGCAGAACTCTTGTACTGACCGTGCCATCTATGCTTGTGAACCAATGAAATCCATTAGCATCAATGTAAAACCTAGACAGAACCAATGATATCTCAAAGACATGAAGGGAGGATAAGAGGAAAGCAAAGAATTGCTTCAGAGTACTTTTACAATCATTTTCTTCAAGACCAATTTCTTTGAAGTGTTTAGTTCTCATTTTGTTGTCAGTTCACATATGTACATGCTGTCAGTCATTAATCCCCGCCCCCTACAATTCCACTGTTTTCTACGCACCACATTAATCCTGCTCTTTCAAGCCAGTGGAATGCAGAAGTGGCACTCTACAGCTTTTAGCAGTAGTCTTTGGTCATAAGGAAGATGAACCAGCATAAGGCAATGGTTTGGAACAAAAATAATCACTTGTCTTACAAGTTCCATCTGGTCAAAACCCCTAAATCCCACTAGGACATAACCCTATTAAATCTTGTACATAAGAACAGAGGAATGTACAAGACCGGAAAAGATGATTATGGTTTGTCTGCCTGAACCCATTTTCTAAAATACCTAAAACTATAGGCCTCAGGTGTTGTCATAAACTTTGTCTATCTTATATATAACTTTTCATTGACTTGCTTTAATGTCCACTATCAGGCCTTAAACAATCTGACTGCTTCTGTTAAATATCTGTTGTGTAAAATCTCCCAGGTTACATTAAAATACACTTAAGCAAAGCAATTTTATGCATCAAATAATACTCACATTGTTTTAATTATCAGTTCTTCATGAACTTTACAGTAGTACAGCAGTTTCTACTTAAAGCTTCCTACCCATGCCTAATACAATTTCCTGTGACTGTTTTTTCACATAGAAAATAACTAAGGTTCAACACATATTGTAAAGGTCAACGCTTAGCACTGTGGTGCCCAAATCCATGGCTTAGACTTCTCATACGGAACCAAGTAAGAGGACGGCTTTTAGGTTTTATCATAAGCTAAGTATTAAATGCTTTTGCCAGATGCCAAAGCAAGGACTTATATAAATCAAACTGTTGTAATTGTTTTTGGATATCTCCCTTCCACCAACATCTATCACCAAACAATGAATTTCCAATTTTAGCATGGGTTTTAGCTCCAGGGTGTGGTTTTGTTAGTTCAGCCACTGGGATTCATTAATTAAGTCAGACACCATCTAGGGTATATTTACAGACAGCACTTCAAACTAACGTTACACGTTCTGAACACTGTCATACCAAGTAATCATCATTCCACTGTAAGCTGAACTAATGAGGTCAACTTGCTGACCCAAAGAATTTACGTGCTCGCTCTTTTCTAGTCCCTGAGTCAGAAATGTGGCCTTTTGGAGCAAGGAAAAGACTAAATTAATGAAGATGCTGCAACTGGAGGCTGAGCCAAGCTTGGGGAAAACTCTAAAGACCAATTTCACAGATTTCACAATTTCACAATTTCACCTTAGAGATTGGTGAACCGAAAAAAAAACTCGGACTCAGCTTGTTAAATTCAAATTGTTCCAAGATTATTTTATATATGTATAACGTGACCAAAAAGTTGAGATAATAATATAATAATAATCCTTGTATTTGATATAGCGCTTTTCATGTCTTCGAGAGTCTCAAAGCGCTTCACAGAATAACTGTAATGTGAATTGACTGTATATTTGTGGGCGAATGCGGCAGCCAATTGCGCACAGCTATCATTGCAGTGTCTAATAAGTCTTAAAGAAATGATGATATATATATTATAATAAATATATTTTTGATGATAGGGTAGTTATCACAACTTTTTGGTCACTCTGTATATTCGGATCTGATTGGAAAAACAAACAACTCAGACAGCATGGGAATTTACACTTTGCATCACATAAAGGTAGTCAAGAAAAAGTGAATAGTGATGCTTACAAACTACAAATAGGCATCCGCAACACAGAAAACTACAATGAAGTTAACTCTTGTATCCACCTCTTCACTAACCCACTCTTCTTCAATTAAAGTTGTGCAACCACAAAATTAATATCCTTTTAAAGATTGAATTGGTGAAATAAAATGGAAGCAAATTTAAACGTTAGTTCTTGCCAAATAAATAAAGGAATCTTAACATTAGGATTACAAACTTCGGAGAGGGTGGATTTGATTTTTTGCCTGAAAGTTAAAAAGAGGCCTGAAATTCCACCTAGTCTTGACCTAAAATTCACATTTGTGTAGAATTGTGGTAAATTTCTTTAATATTGCCTGAGTTTGTAAACTGATGTTCTATAGTTTTAAGAAAGAACTGACTTCCAAATTTAAGGATTTAAAAGGATTTAATAATTTTCCACAATTCTACTCGAGAAGCTTTAAGACAAAATGATCTTACTAGCTAAGAGTTGATAGTTCTTTGGGCTTGAGGTGTTTCAAGCAGGATTTAATGTTGTGTTCATATGAGAACCTTACTTTATGGTTCAGTCCTGATCAACCTAGTGTTTTTTTTAAAAAAATGTAGGTGTAACCATCAAGATTGACCTCTATATAAAACAGGTTGATAGTTATAGGGTATAGTGATAAGCAAAGACTGGGATGTCCAAGTATTCAGTAGGACACAATTTATTTTTGTTAGCCGGGTGTCTGACACATGTGGAAACCATCAGCATGCTTAAGAGTATCCAAACCAAACTGAGAATTCCATGTATCCCACTTCAAACGGAAATTCTAGATATGTTTGCTGGGATGGAATGCGCACTCTCCCCCTGGAGGGACACATCCTGCATACCTAATTCCAGAAAGTATTAGGTGCAGGTTAGCAAAAACCAAGGCTTGGGGACCCCAGAGTGTGCGTTGGGATCCTGCCGGAGACAAACCAGCTAAAATTGCATAGCTTGCCATCGAGAGCACTGCCTGACAAGCTTTCCCTCTGCAGGCCAATCAAGGCGGATTCCAGGCGCTGGATGCAAGAACACGTGTTTACAAAATCGGCCTCCAGGTAACGCCTTCCAGCAGCTGTCACCCCAAACCTCAGAGTTCCTTCATCAGCTATCCGACAGACATCATAGTTCCTGAGCTACTGAGGCTGGTGTGCACACGTGCGATTTTTGGAAGGTATTCAAGCAATAGCGAGGATAGATATTCTGCAATTCTACTTCATTGTGTCTGGGAATTAGAGTTTAGTTGTATTGATGAAGAGCTTTACCTCAGTTTATTGAATGTATGTCCATAATAAAGATAAAGCTCTGCATCTACTGTGGAAGAATAACAACAATAACAAAATTATATTTGTATAGCGCCTTTCATGTTGAGTTTGTGGGGGTCAAGTGGTTGCTTCTCATTCCAAACGTTTTAATGTTCTCAGGTATAGGGATCCAAACGTTAAAGTAAATAATAATAATCCTTGTGTATATTGTACTACCTAGAACATTGAAACATCTTAAAATGTGTTTGGTGATTGTGTAATTGTAGGCCAATACAGCTGCCAATTTACGCACAGCAATATCTGCAAACAGCCGTGAAGTGAATGATCAATTTAATCTGCCAGATTGATGGCTAAGACATCACGCAAACCCCCAAATGAAATCTGAAAATGTAACTTATTTAATTTATCAATATTACCTATTTGAAGAAGTGTTTATAAACGATTCAAGGCTAGTTAATGGATTCCACTTGGATTACATTACATATTGTAAAACAGTGTTTTAAAGTACTGATTATGGCTAATTTTACCAAAAAAAACTGATCTATTCCAGATATGTTAGCCCAAGTCATCAAATAAAAAGCTAACAAACATTTTATTTTATTCTGTCTAAAAGCAAACTAATGTTAGAAGAAAAAAAATGTAATCTTGCAGGTAGATACACTAAAATATTAAAACAATTCATTTTATTCAGTCAATAAATAAAAATAAACAGCCAGAAAGAGTCGATTTATTTTTATCTTCCTTTTTTTTATTTGGTTGCTATGGATTATAAATATATGTTAATTTTCTTTGTATTTCGCCTGTGTGGACTTTTCTTTTTAATACTTGTCAAGGCCTGAGGCAATAACCAGGCTTTTCCTTTACAATTAGTGCCTGAATTGTAGACAGAAGAAAATTCTGTTCACATTTTAACAATGATTGAAATTCAGCGTGCCGCATTACCCAGAGACGACATTAGCACTTTAAGTGATTAATGCGTGAAATAGGCTGCCATCCATCTTGGCATTCCAGCCTGTTTTATTCCCATAACGTACTTTGGGTGTAAGAAAACAGTCAATGGCCACTTCATTTACTAAGAGTTCTTGTGACCTCCAGGCATGCATACAGTCACACTGCCCATACACAGTGATTTACAGCAACATTGAAGAAGAGGGGCAAAGCAATTCAGGCGATGCACCATTCGACAAAAGTTAGGAAAAATCCATTGAAACAAAAATACAAACCACTGTGACTCTTAGCTTATCTGAAATGGTATCCTTGACTTTATTGCTAAATGCTTACAATCAATTCAAACGGTATCCCAGCAAGTTAAGATAAGAAAAAAGTTAATACTTACAAATAATGAAATAGTCCTTATTTTTTTGAAACTCCAGTCCCCACAAGTTGGGGCTGAATTCCTGAAACTTGATGGTATATATGACGTCTTGATCTGGTTTGTTGCAGTTCAGTAATGGTGAGGGGCTGGGAACAGCATTGCAGTTGTCAGCGTCTTCTTTTGATACCATGTAGAGCTTATAGTATTCATACTGTCCTGTGATCCTAGAGTCCACCTTGGGACAGATTATATCCATCTTGTCTCCTATCTGTGGGTACATTACCAGGCCTTTATTGGGTAGGAATCTGTAAATAAGAACAAAAGAATTGGTGAATAAGTGTGCCACCCTTCACAAAAAAAAGTTTTCTTTGAAAGAATTTGTAACTCTGTAAGCAACTAGCTGGAATAACAATGTAAGTCGGATGGGAGGAAATATTAATTCTCAGGCAGTTTCAGTATTTTCTGTTTGCCTCCTTTTGATAATCCTCCACTAAAATAGATAGGTGGAAAGTCTAACAAATGCCTTCCTTGTGTTGTGTAAGCCAAGCTTAAGATTCTATTGTTTTAAGAATGTTTGTCAAAAAAAAACACTTGTGCTTCCCTGAATAATTCAAAACAAATACATGTACAAAAAATCTTCCTTTTTGTCAGAGAATAATATTAATTTTATTTTGTGTCAGTTAATTTCCCTGGTAATGCACAATGTTCCAATTTGAAAGACAGTCCACATGCAGAGATGGAAACATGTCCTTGCAGCACATACATGATAAATTCAGCAGTCAAAAGGCTAAAGGTGCATTTTTGGTAGAACACTTCTCTCGTTACATTAGAATTTGACAGTGCCTCTCATTTGGTCTATTTGGTTATATTCTATAAAAGGCCCACCTCAAAGGATTTTACAATGACAATGAAGACATTTGTGCACAAAGTCCATTTCAATACAAAAAATACATTCCTGGTACCGAAGGTGACTGTTTTTAACTGGACTTGCTGTTCTCATATCTAAAGTGCGGCACTAATCCTTGTTCTCTGATGTATTGGTTACCGTTAACACCCAGAAGCAGCTCCTTAAATTCACAGCTTCTGATACAATATCCCCAAGGCCCAAAGCAAAGTGCCCTTGTCTGCATGAACCTGGTAGACTTTATAGAGTTTGCACAAGATCAAAATTCAACTGCAGAGCTCCTGAAATAAAGGAACACGGATGCACATCTTCATTCCTTTATTCAGTGCACACCTCAGAATCTTGGTTAGCAATCTTGTAAGTTTGTTTGCATTTTAAGGATTCTTATTAATGCTCAATGACTCTAAGTTAGAGAGATGTGTATAGGGTCAATAACATTAAATGTTTCACCTCACACTTTAAGGTGCATTGTTCATTTGTTGCACTTGGGAGATTTTGTCAAATTAACGTTATATCATTTAACTTTTAACTATATAGTGATCGTTTAATACAATCTAACCCTGAGTTTTAACAGAGAATTAATCTCAGGCTCCACATTTGAAGCATTGATCCTAAGGTGGTCAAGTGATCATCAATATGCAAAATATAATCTGTTTGGCTCATAATAATCCTTGCATTTGATATAATAACTCTCATGTCTGGAGGATGTCTCAGAGTGCTTCACTGGATATACAGTAAAATGGAGTGACTGTGTGCTTGGTATGCAAACCCATGAAAAAAACCTACAGAAGTGTACCAACCTTCAAACAAAAATATAGATAAAAATATCAATTCTTCAAAAACAGTTATCAGTGGTTTCACATCGATAATGTTATTTTAGTTGTATCTTATGTTTTTACAATTACGTTAATCACAATTAAATAGAACCCTTCATCATCTTCTTACCTTAATTTGTTTTTTCAGCTCCTCTTTTCAATCTTATTTCTATACTGTATTATGAGACTCAATGGTTCCTCTATAGCCTAGTGGCGATAGGTCCCACCTACTATTAGTCCAAGGCTCAGCTTTGCAGATCCAAAGATCACATATTTAATTCTGGGGATCAACCAAGCTTTGGACAGTGCAATTTGTATTACTACCACGGATGAGGAAAAGGAAAATCAAACCGCGCTTCTAACTTTGGCTGATCACTATCCAGTGACCCTCTACTGCAAAGTGTATGCTTGTGGATATAAAATGGGATCAGGATAGGCCTTGGTTGTAATCCTCTCCACAGTTGAATCATCAGCAGAAACTCACTGTCTGGGCTCACACATGAAGAATGACCAATTGGGCAAATTACCAGTTGGCTGAAGCCCAGCAAGAGTTAGTACATTTTCAGAGAAAGAAAAACAATTCAAATTGCCTTTCCTCCCTACATCTCGTATATGTGTTAGTCAATTCCTTAACAATTATTCACTGAAGCTTGTCAATCTGATAAACATCTACAAACTACAAAGCATTTCTGGTGCACTGAAGATACCCTAAGACATTGACAGTCACTGGCGAATGTGCTTTAAGAGATGTGCCCTGCCCAATAATAGTGTTTGAGTATGGAATTAACAATAAGCTATATTCCATTTTCAATGCAACTATTTTCAACAATGGAAACCAGAAAATAAGAGTACATCAGTCTGTCCAGCTCCTATAAACTAATCTGCTAAAGCAGTAATCTAATCTGAGGTGTTCAGATAACATTTTAAAAACGGCTCTTATGGTTTTTAAGGTAATCTAAACTACCTGATTAGATTACAACTAGTAAATTGTTGCTGATAATCATTATTCTTTACTGACTATTTCACAACATCAAAAATGTTTTAGGGATTGAATGGTGCAGGCAGCTCAAATAATTTCCTTTCATCTCAGCAAAATGGGTTCAAATCCAGTCCAGATTGATGGGGTGAAAGTCTCCTCTCTCTGCCGACTGTAAAAGCCCTCATGCGAAATAAATTTCATCAGTGTGGGTTGAGCCCACATTGGGTTGAGCCCACAGCATATAAAGTGTGATTAAATCGGAACTGGTTATTGCATTCAAATGAGAGTCTGGTGTGGAAAATGGAAATATTCAGAAAGATTTTTTTTGGAGGTTGTGTTTAAAGCACTTAATTGTTGGTAGTGAGTAGAAAACGTTGTTCTGTGTTTACCTATGTTTGATACTGGGTGACAAAATTAACACTATTCCATTTCCCCTCCTCTTGATGATCAAAGAAACTCATTGCAAAGTGAATTTGCAAAACATTTTGCTGAAGTTAAGTCTGTTATCATGAACCTTCTGTTGTCCTGAGAGCAGCAGAACAGGCATAACTGCAAACAAGCTACATTAAATAACACTTGATTCACTCAAACTTGTGAGCAATACATCTATAATAATGAAGCTTGGAACAGCACTGAGTATGCAAATTTCCATACTGTGCTTGCACAAGTGTAGCAGTGTTCCAAGATTCAGCAAAAAACAGGCTTGTGGTTCACTTCAGCTGACCACAGATCCCAGGGCAGGAAGGCTAGGATCTTACATTAAAACTGAAAATGATGAAACGTGTTTTGTAGATAGGCAATATTTGCATTTATTTTTATTGGAACTCTGTCAGCTGCACTGACATCTACTCATGAATGTAAGTCCAGGTTAACAGAAGTTGGATTGTACTTGCTCAGCAGGTATATAGATTGGTTTCTACATCGATCTGTTTCCGAGGTGTTGTGTCAATTCATAGTACAGCAGTTTTAATTGTCTGATTAGTAGTCGATTCATACATTCAAGTTCAAGAGTAGAATAGTGTTCTTAACCTGCCACTAGTTGTCACTAACACACACTGAAAACCACTAAAGTCGTCAAGTGACATCTTGATTTGGAAAGTAGGATCGCAGGCAATTTTATTTGCATCACTGTAACAGCAGATAGAAAAAATATCCAGGTTTTGTCAGGTGTTGGCTAAGGTTTTAGTTGTGCCGATACTTTACTTCGGTCTGGAGCAATGAAACATGAAACTGGTTGCCTGGATGATACTTAACACTGGTGGTTCCAGGTTTATTAGTAGTGACCATGACCTAGTTGTGATAATCTACCAATTGGCATATGATTTGCACGTAGGTATTTTCCTCTCATATTTGGATCAAATTTTGAAGTCGGGAAGGAAACCAGCACTATTTTTAGAGCAGATGTCTTATCAGCAATCATAGATCAGTGTTCCTTAGGGGCTGGATACTGAAAACATCTGTGATCATTCTGTTATACTAATTATTCTAATCTTTAAGAACCATCGTTTCGGCTGCCAACTTTGTTTTGCAAAAAAACTTTGCTAATCTTTGAGGATGAATAAGATATTTTTTTCTAGTTTTTTTTAAATCATTGAATAAATTAACAAATTGCTGATTATGGCGTGTGTGTTCCTAAAGAATAGTGGGAGAGCAACTGAAGCCAAACTATGCAACTTAAAAAGATATCAAGCTGTTGTTACAGATAAATAAGCCATTAGCAATCATTTCAGTAAGTCTCTTCCAGAATGTCACCCTAGACCAATGATTACAACATTTTTGGGGGGTTCCCAAGTACCGAGTGTGTGTAATGATGCCAAAAAAGTGTGCAATATCCTTCTTGAAATCTTACTGTGTTCTGCATTTTACATTCATGGGATCAGGTGCCCTCTCTTCAGGGTAACCAATACATACTTCAGCACTGATCCCAGGGATAATGTTTTTACTAAGTGGTTCTTATTAAGGACAAAGAGCAGTATGACAAAAGATTAGCTGAATCTATGATTTTTTTGTACAGTGGGCAGCCATTAAGTATGAAGGTAAATATTTTCCAATTGAAGAACCCAATGCTTAAACAACTGCAAGGTCCATCAAAAGGCTACATGGAACCAAAAAGGATTAGCAAACTCTCCACTGACACAAGCCACTAGTTACAGTATACAAATTCAAATTACAAATTCACACTGATGAACTCAAAGAGTTCCACTATCCCATTTCTGGCAAATGCCAATCTCTGCTGTTCAGTCATTTAAGAATATTTCTCTTAAATCGTTTACTTTCTGTGGTCCTATGTTTAAAAGTGATTTTAATAGTCAATTTTGCAGCCTAAATCAATGAGCCATTAGAGCAAGTCCACAACCAAGCGAAGAAGTAATTTAACTGACAGTTGTAAGCATCTGCAGAAATAGCTGGACTGAGTTGGAGAAGGTAAATGGTGAGATTAGGCTGATAGCAAAACGCAACAAACAACAAAGTGTTGTTTGCCGCATGGTGTGTCACCCTTACTTCCAATGAAAATCTTTTAAAACCAGTAAGAGAGGAAGCAGATGAAGAGATCCCCACTACTATAGTATTCTTACACTTGTGCAGTCTTGTTGTTAGCTATACATC